TGCCCCAACCCTGAGCCCCCTCCCTCATTCTAGCTCCTGGCCAGACCCCTTCACCCCCAGCCCCGTGCTCAGTGCACTCCCACCCTCAGCTCAGTGCAGAGAGAGGAAGAGAATGGGCCAGAACCAGGGAGAAGGTAGGTACTCACTGTATGTGGGCAGGGCTGGGACCCCAGACCGGTAGCTGGCTGAACGGGTCCGGCAGCCGGGATCCCGGCTGACAGGAGCCGGCAGATGGAACCCCCTGAGCGACAGTGGGCTGAGCGGCTCAGCACGCTGCCGGTCTGGGGTCCCAGCCGCCGGCCCGGCACAGCCCGCTGCCGGTCTGGGGTTCTGGCTGCCGGACCCTTGCCAGCCGGGGTCCCAGCTGCAGGCCCCACTCAGCCCGCTGCCAGCTTAGGTGAACAGAACCCCAGACCAGCAGCGGGCTGAGCGGGCCGGCAGCATAAGATCAACATTTTAATTTAATTTTAAATGAAGCTTCTTAAACATTTTGAAAACCTTGTTTATTTTACAATACAACACTAGTTTAGTTATATAATATATAGACTTATATATAGAGAGAGACCTTCTAAAAAACATTAAAATGTATTACCGGCAGGCAAAACCTTAAATTAAAGTGAATAAATGAAGACTCGGCACACCACTTCTGAAAGGTTGCCAACCCCTGTTCAAGGTCTCAAAATAGATCTGTGGTGTGAGAATACAAAGAGAATCCACAATGAAATTTGCAAAATAGACATAAACTTTTCTTAGAAACCCTTTGAACAATAAGTGTAGAAATTAACTCAGGAGGAGTTAATTTTGTATTCTTCAGGAAGCGCACTATAAAAGAACAACTTTAATGGACATATGTAAGCCTGCTCTCTACAGGTTAAGTGTCACTGTGAATTATGTCTAGAGCTTCCCAAGATCTTTGTAAACACTTCACAACAGTTCTGTCCTCTTTTTGCCAACTAGACATTCTCTGTTACATTCCCTAATAGCACTGAAAAACGAGAACAAGTGAAATTTAAGGGTAATTTCTTACTTAGGAATCTGTCTGTGCATGGACTGGATAGCTCCCAGTCCAGAGGCTAGTTTATTATTTCCATCTGCCCATGATGATGAAGGCATCTCTAAACATGGCTCCACAATAGCTGTTATTCATAAATATCGTGCACAAATACTCTATGAAATCTCTTCCAAAACAAATACTATAGACACTAAAGACCAACGTTAGTAGAACGAGGGGGAGAATTGCAAACTCAAGTCAGTTAGGTGCCTAACTGCCATCTGTGCCTTTGAAATTCTTCCCACTAGTGCCTAAGTCTTGCATGCAACTATCCCAATAAAAGGGCAAATGAGTGTTTATTGGCCTGATCCAATTCCCATTGAAGTCACATCTGCACAGCTGGTAATGATTCAGGTGCGGAGGGTATATAATTGCTCCAATGCTTGTGAAGTTACCTGTAATAACAGGGAACTGCATGTTTGGGCCTGAATGTGCATATTTGGTATGCACAACACAGGCATTTAATTTTGAAAACTTGCCCCTCTGGGTCATAAAGTAAAACGCTCTCAGTGCATGTCTCACATTCTCATTGATACCCATGGGAATGGCATGTGCGTTTCAAGGGTATCATAAAGCCAAAAATATACAATATTAATAAAGTAAAATTTTAACCAAACAGATTAAGCATCCTCCAGGTTTGTAGATGTAGGACTCCATGAGGAAACCAGTGAGAGTCACCTGCTCAAACTTAGCCCCCTTCCAATCAGCACTCTACGGATGTAGCATGCAGTACTAAACATAAAAAAGGAAAGATTTTTAAAAGCCATTCCTATTCTAGAGACCAGGTGGGTGAGCTAATATCTTTTACTGGACCAACTTCTGTTTGTGAGAGAGACAAGCTTTTGAGCTTGCCACAGAGATGAAAGAAGAACTCTTTGTAAGCTCAAAAGATGGTCTCTCTCACCAACAAAAGCTGGTCCAGTGAAAAATATTAGCTCACCCACCTTCTCTCGCTAATATCCTGGAACCAATACAGCTACAACAACACGGCAAACATTCCTATTCTAAGCAGTTTTGTTTCTATAGTGCTTTCAGTCAGCTCTGCACATTTCCACTTGTCCAGTTGCACAGAGTGAACGGACTATCTTTAGCTTTTTCATCTATATCAGTTATTATAGAAAAGGACAGAGGAATAGATTTTTTTTTCCAAAGTAAAAATTTTCTGATAGTTTTGTCAGGCTTCTTAGATGTCAATGCTTCTGTATGCTTTTAAAGTTAAGTGCAGAGACTTACCTTAAGTTTACGCCGAGCATTGAATTCTTGAAGTTTCTTTTGTGCATTGTCCATATGTGCAAAATTGGCTGCCTTTCCTGTGACCCAAGGGTGCTGCAAAGCTTGAAAGGTCGTGAGGCGCTTCTTAGCATCAAACACAATCAACTTTTTAACCTATGTCATCGAGAAAAGAAAGTCAACTTTCTTCCCCAATGATATGTAGTGAGTCCTACATTATGGGGTTTGTTCTTGGTTTTGTGAAGCTGCTCAATTAAAGGCTCTCTAGGAAACAAACTATCATTTTTTGTTGCTGTTCAACAAACGAATTCTAGAACTAGCAGACTCAACCCTGGAACATAGGTTGTTACTACTTATCTTCAAAATGGAGATAATACTAAGTGTCTTGCTGAAAGACACACATGTGCTACTGAAAAAAAATCTTTCTTTTGCTGTTGAACACTATGCTGTGTGAACTAGCACGTTTTCATTACAGCTACAGTAGGTGAATGCATTTGTCTAAGCTGCCAAGGAGAATATAATGGTTAATGGTAAATGGGCTTAAGTATAAAAGAGAGAAAGAGACAAAGGCAAAATAAACACATTCACTTTGATTTTGAACCTTCATGTACCAATTTTCTTGTATTACTTTTATTGTAGCTCAAGTACTTTATAGCACTTTACCAATTAAAAAAATAATCCTGCATGTACTGTAAGTACAATATGTAAATTGATTGTAAAGTATGGCCATAAGAAACACTGCATTTGAATGGGTAAAAGCATTCAAAGCAAAGGCATTATGCTTATTTGATAACTTAGGTCAGGACTACCACTGACTGCAAGGCTACATTAGAAAGAGTATCAGTATCAGTACACCTCACAAGTTTTAATGTGTGGGGATTAGATTACACAGTGGTTGAAAGAAGTATTTAACTTTTTTGCAAATTTGGGTTAAAAAATGTGCATGGAATATCACGGCTAGTGGTGAGGGTTAAGTGATAACTGAGGTGTGTTTTAAATGGTGTTGTGAATGGTGTCATATAGTCTTTCATTATCATGAGTTCTTGACTTTCAGGAGTACCAAATCCACTGCTTTTTCCACTGAGTCTGGAAAAAGTGCTTGGCACACCCATTGACTTTCACTAGCTCTGTGATTGTCTTTGGATCCAAGACTCACCTGTTGGCAGCCATTAGCATCTTTCAACATAACAATATTTAATTTTAAAATTGCATTTAATAGGCTTAAATCACATATACCTCAAAATATTGTGTAATTCCTGAATCACACTCTTACCTACTGTATTTAGACCTCTGCCACAGCAGAATCAGGGCATTATTTCAGTAACATTTCACTTGCTATCAAATGTGGGTTTTTAAAATTTTGGGGATTTAAGTTTTAAAGGTGACTGGAAAGTTTTTAAAAATATAAATCAAACTACCTAATATCCCACATAAAAAGCCATATTTTCAGAGTTAGGCACATGACCTCAAGTACATTTGTGCATACAAATGCCCACTGGAAGTGTGCAAAATAGGTGGGTTTTTTTTTAAAGTTCTGTGTATTCTTACTTTACCCTCCATAGAATGTACTTTACAAATGTGCAAGTTGTACTATGAAAATGGGCTAGGCATCATTGTTCACAGCTCAGTGAAAACATCTGCTCAATGCACAGTGGTGGGTCAAAAAAATAAACAACATTTTAGAATGTTTAAAGGAACTGAACAGAAATTAATACAGGGCCAGATTCTATCAGAGATGGCAATTCCTATCATCCTATGGAGGCATAGGTAAGCAGCAGAACCTGTACAATTCTGCTTATTGGAGCTTTATCCACATTAGCAGGTAATAGTAACTGCAGGAGTGCTGCTGTAGGCAGGTGTCATGTTATTGACTTGAACTGGGACCATACAGAACATGGTTGCAACCAAGGTCCTGTAGGGGCACCAAATCTTGTATAAAAGGGGTCTATGGAAAGGTTATGGTTTGCTGGTTATGATTATGCTGTCTATATGTGTGTATCATTTTGTAGTTGAAGTTATGAATATTGGCTCTATATGTCTGTGTTTCAAACTTATGCTATGCTTCTGGGTGACACCCCAGACAAGTTGGTGTCAGCTCTGCCTAGCCTGCTTGAGGGCCCATTAAGGGCCATCAGCTATACAACTGACCCACTGAGAGAAGGCAGATATGCCTTGAGACTCGGCAAAGTATGCAGGGACTTGCCTATGTGACTCCAGACTCCATTTTGCTGTAATTTTCCACAGTAAGAACAAAGAGGTGTTCTTACACCTGGAAAAGACTATAAAAGGCTGATACCTCATCTCCATCTTGTCTTCAATCCTGCTTCTTACCTCCGGAGGGACTTTGCTACAAACGGATGCTCTACACAAAGGACTGATGACCCATCCCAGCTGGGGATGTACTCCAGAGACTTGATTTAAACCTACAGTTTATTCTATCACTGCTACAAGCCTGAACCAAGAACTTTGTCATTACTGTATGTAATTGATTCCATTTAACCAATTCTAGCTCTCATGTCTATCCTTTTCCTTTTATAAATAAACCTTCAGATTTTAGATTCTAAAGGATTGGCAACAGCTTGATTTGTGGGTAAGATCTAATCTGTATATTGACCTGGGTCTGGGGCTTGGTCCTTTGGGATCAAGAGAACCTTTTTTCTATTACTGGGATATTGGTTTTCCTAACCATTTGTCCCTATAACGAGTGGAACTGGTGGTGAAACTGGCGTGTCTAAGGGAATTGCTTGTGTGACTTGTGGTTAGCCAGTGGGGTGAGACTAAAGTTCTCTTTGTCTGGCTGGTCTGGTTTGCCTTAGAGGAGGAAAAACCCCAGCCTTGGGCTGTAACTGCCCTGTTTTTAAGCAATTTGTCCTGAATTTGCGCTCTCAGTTGGGTCCCGCCAGAACCAGCATCGTTACAGCAGGGCGCAGGTATTTTCACCACTGTGTCTTCTAGACCTGCTGTTAGCAGAACTAGATGACACAGATTTATCTAAACTAGTGCTTCCACCATTGCTCCAACTGGTAGAGCTGCACCTATGTTGGTGCAATGGTGGGAGATTTCCTGACAAATGCCACAACTGATGCAGCTTTGGCATGTGGAAGGTGTGGGGAGCTGAGCAAATAGGTGTGCATGGTGAAGCTGTGTTCCACAGATGTCCATCCACATCAGGGCAGAGTGGCATTGTAGAAAAAAATACAAAAAAAAAGTGGACACAGGAGGAGGACTGTAGCCAGTGGATCTAAAAATACACAGATCTCCTGGCTGAACACCCTTCATGAGCAGAGTGCACTGTGGCTGTGGAGTAGCTCTGCTACTGCTCCATGACCTAAGCGGGGAAAGGGGGATTCTGTTTATCCCCACTCTGGTGGAATTCCCCCACAAGTACTTTGAGGGAAAAACCACTGCCCTCCTACGAGCAAGTCAGAGTGTCACTGTCGTGTGTGTGCCCTGTGAGTCTAAGCAGCAATTCTGGATCAGTTAGTCAGAATGCCTCTTTGTGGCTCCAACTGCAATGCAGCTGCTCATCCCTCCCTACAGCATGGGTCGTGGCTTCAAAGCCACAAACTGACTCAATCTCTGGTTCAGATTTTACTTCCAACCATTCAGAATTGAAAATATATGAGCTCCATTGGAGCAACTGCGCTGATACAACTTACATAAATGCCGTATGCACACAAAGACCATCCACTTAGCTCTACTGCGGGGTATTGTTTAGCTGACCTTTGCCTACGCAGAGATGTAAATGACATTTTCTCCATCTCAGAAATATTCTAAATCTAATACAACAACAATAAATACTTCGAACCTCTACAGTGCCTTTCATCCGAAGCATCCTGAAGTACTTTACAAACATTAATTAATGTAGCGTTTTATGGCACAGTTTGTACAAGTGATATGGAACTGAACATTTGTTACTGTAATTTTAATGAAATAACTAAATTGTGTATGTATCATTGGGTAAAAATAGAAGTTGGACATGTTCATCTTTGTAGATCAGTATCTTTCGGATCCATTTTACTTTACCCAGTAATCAAAGGATCTAGTGCAGATAATGCTCCAGCCTTAGCATTTTACTAATGGATCATACTTAAGGGCAATGACTCTGCCTCATCTACTAAAAACTGATTACAAAAAGCTGAGAAATGGACAGAATCTTATAGTCAAACAGCTGGGGCCTTTGTTATTTAATCTTTATAAGGAAAAAAGTTCAAACGCGAAACTATACAAACTATGGAGGGGTTTTTATAGCCCTTTTGAGGTTGAAACGCCATGAAGAAGAAAGAAATGGAAAGAAAAAAAAACTTCTCCAAGAAATGATACCTACAAAAAAAGTCAGACACTAGAATCTTTAGCCAGGTTCTCTGAATATTAACCTGATCTTGAACAAGTGATGTATGATGTAGTGTGGGGACTTTTTACTGTAATTTAATAGACTTAAAAAAAAAAGTGTTCTGCAATAATCTCTGAATTTCTACAGCCTAATTTACAAGAGTACTTAACAGCCACAGCTTTAACTGATGTCAGAAGGGGCAAGAGGTGCTCAGCATCTCTGAAATTCAGGCCACTAGAATCTATGGTTGTTATTTCATTTTAACAAATTAGTCTTGATTTGCAGGCAAACAAGATAGGCTGGGATCAAAGTGAAATGAGGATATATGTGAAAAAGCTCAACACAAATACTGTTTGCCTTTGGGGAACTATGTCACATGTGCATCAGAGAAAATACTACACTTTGTGTTCTTGTTGTACTTACCAAATCCTTGGCATTTAGAGACACGTCATCCCACCAGGGGGACACAAAGTCATATTCACAATTCAAAATTCTTTTAAACATGTACTGGTCTCCCCTTTCATCATAGAATGGTTCAAATCCACAAAGTCTAAGAGGAAAAGAGAGCGAAATTTATCAAAGATCTAAGTGATTTCAGGCTCTAAGGAACATTCCCCTATGTGATTTTTTACTCACTACACAGCTCTTTTCCCACCCTGCATGTGAAAACAGAACTACTTTTAATTAAAAAAAAACAAAAATAACAAACCTTTGCTTGGGTCTTTATACATGTCACTTTAAGTGGTCCCCCCCACCACACACACACACAAGGCAGGGCTGATAACATAACCTATTATTAAGGTTGCCCGACACTTTCCATTATAAGATGCTGTTTTCAGTTGATTATAACTTTGTCAGACTTCAACTGTTTGAGCTGAAATTGTCCATGCTGGGTGTCTGCCTCAGGGTGGATTTTTTGGAAACATTCAGGCAAAATAGTTCAGTTGTTTCTGAGAATGATGCTAGGAAAAATGGTGTTTGGCCCATGTTAAAAAATTCTGGTGACCTTGTCTTTGAGATGTTCTAGCACCCAGTGCTTTAGAGCAGAGACTTGCTATTTGGCGGCGGGGAAAGGGGGGAAACTAGTTTCAGGCATCTGAACTGAGAGCAGGGAGACTGTCTCTCCTGTGATCTCAATAACACCCTGCTGGGCCTAGGCAGCATGAAGGAGAACTTTAGAGGGGACAAGAATTGGATCTTCAGGAAGGTAACAGGCTGGGAAGGACAGAAACTGGGATTGGGAGTTGGGGTGCAGGAAGACTGGGAGTGGCTGGGCAAGGCGATTGGTACTGGGAGCCAGGGAGAGAAACAGGGGATGGAAGTGGGGGGACTGGGAGCCAATAGTTAGTGGGGAGACTGAGATTTTATGAGGAGCTAGAGCAGAGACAAGGACAGTCTGGGCAAGGAAAATGGGACTGAGGGGGGATGAGAAGCTGGGGTGGAGGGGGAGAACTGGGAGTGGCTGGGCAAAAAGACTGGGACAAGGAGCTTTGGTCAGGGGCGTTATTGCGATTAGATGAGAAGCCTAGATAGGGAGATTAGGACTGGGAGCCAGTGAGGATAAGGAATGTGGGCAAAGGGTGACTGGAGGCTAGGGTGGGGGAGAAAGATAGATTGGAGGAGGCGCCAGGAAGAGGAGAACTGGGGACAAGGAACTGAGGTGGGTGAGGAGACTGTGAGCCAGGAGTCTTGAACTGGGTGTCCAGAAGGGTGAGACTATCACTTGCTGGAGGAGACTGGGAGTGGAGATTGGGATTGACTAGTTGAGGAGAATGGATGGGGACGAGGAACCAGGGGTGGGGAAGAGACAGGATGAGACAGGGTCAGGTTGGAGGGGATGAGGCAGAAGGAGTCACACTTGGGGGTGGGGGGGATAGGCAGAAGAGTCTATGCTCACGGGAGCACAATATCCTACAAAGCCTGGAATAGAACCCAAGATTCTCAAGTCTCACCATTCCTCTGCTGACAGCAAATATCTCCCACTAGCAATGTGTCCCCCCTCCTCCAGTGCTTGTCCACACAGAGGATTATAACCTATTACTGCTATCAGTTACTCCATTCGCTCAAGTGGCAAAAGCCTGTGCAGTGAGGCTAAAGGTATCAACTCTGACGATGACTCATGTGGGTGGCAACAGGATGCTATGATGGAATTCCTGTATTTTCAGTTTGCTTTTTTAAAAACGTAAGAAATCACATTAAAAATACTAGAAACATTAAGATTCAGTCAAGCACTCAAAAGTTAGGAAGTACCACAATTAAGGTTGACTGTGTAACCTTAATTTGGGCTCCTTAGAGTACGTATTATGATACAGTCTAATTACATGACTATATACCATTTTTTCTATGGAATTTGTCTAATTCATTGCACAGATCAGACCTACTCTGGGGATGAATCAGGGTTGTGTAGTGATGGAGGCTGCTGCCTGTAGGACCACTGCCTCGTTTGTTGCAGATGATGGAAGGTGCACAGGGAATGACCATGGGGACTGCAGGAAGAGAAGGGATGGTTCTCTAAATGAAGGCAGTTGGATGCTGCCCTGGAGAAATGGATTCTGTCCCTGCCTCTGCCAGAGAGTTCCTGTGTGATACTGGACAAATCATTTAACCCAAAATTTTTACAGGTCACTAATTATGTGCACGTCAGATTTTGGGGACTGATGAGATTGCCTAGGGTCTGATCTGCAGAAGAGCTGAGTGCTCATTGCTGCAACTGACGTCAATGGAGCTGTGCTTTGAACATATATAGTGCTATATGAAAATGCTACAAATACTCTGAAAAGTTAGGTCCTAGGCATTTCAAATTGGGCATCCAAAATTAGATGATACTTTTGTCCTTAATCTCTCTGTGCCTCAGTTTCCCACATGTAAAATGGTGATATCATCCCCTCACCTCCTATGAGCGTTATAAAGATAAATTCATTCATGTATGATACACACAGGTACCACAGCGATGAACGACATAGCAAAGCCCGGGAGGAAATTAATATTTCTCTCTTCAGAACAGGGTTTTAACATTATGCGGTAAATAAGCCTTGGGCCACACACTCAACATTGGGGATAAACCAAAATACTGAAAAGCTGCTCTTTAAATGAGCATCATCCATTCTGTGCACTGAATGAGGCAGGGATCCTGTGGAAAGATAGTATGTAATCATGTAATTTCAGACTGTATCACAATGTATATGTACAAGGGGGTTGAACTAAGGTTAAATTAAAATACAAAATAGACCCAAAAAACAAACAAACAAAGAAACTAACCAAAAAAAATCAAAACAACACAAAAAAACAACCACATATACCCAGGAAAGCTAGTTATTCACTGGATTGCTTGGGCCAAATTCAGTGGTAAATCTAAGTGAGTTTAGCTTTAGAGAAACGTACACTTTTCTGCCACTTCATGATGTATCACCCATAAACCCACTCTCTACACTCCCTTATGCATACATTTGCACCTATTTAACACTACGTAATTTATATATCTCTGAATTGGATCCACTGGTTACAATCCTGCTGCTACTGCAATCAATTGTAGAACTCCCAATTATGGTATACAACAGCTGGACTTTAATCTGGTATGTACAATGCATTCCAGTAATTTATCTGAATAATGATCCTATTTGCAGATGAGATACATTCAACGATATTTCAGATGGAAGGCAAAGACACAGAAATGAGTGACAGTCATACAATACACTGCCTCTTGTTTGCATTACACTGTAATCAGGCTTATCATTTTACAGTAATCTCCCCTCTAATCAATAAGTGTCCTGATGCTACAGAGGATTAGTGTATCTGCTGTCATGTTCTAAGTAAATATGACAGGTAACACAAAATGAAGATAAGAAAACAATGAACTGCGAAGAAAGTGAAGAGCAGTGCTATCAGTTAAATATAACCGTAAACTCCAGTATCAGTTATCTTAGTTTTGAAAAACAAATATTTTGCATGCTATCTTGTTTTTTTAAAATGAGAGAGATGCATTAAAGCTCAAGGAACTAATGTTCTGAAAAAGTAGCTGCTTGCCTGTGGGTGGAGTGGCTGCATCGTGTTATAGAGCTAGCACAGAGACACCAGCCTAAGAATATTCTTAGAACAGTATTCATGCTCAAGGCTGGCAGAGGTGGATTAGACTACAGCAGTAGAATCTTTGAATGCTCTATTTAAGTAGGTGGGAACGGACTGCTGTCCTCTTGACCTCCTCACCCCCATTTGTCTGCTTCTCCCAGCATCATATTTGTGCTGGCTTCAGTGATGCTCTTTTCCCATGGAATGCCCTCCCTCAATTGGTCTGTAAGGTCAGTACCCTATCAAGAGCTACCAAGATATGTAGTAGAAATTAGGTAACTAATAGCAACAAGTCTGAGGAGCAGTCAGAAGCAACTGATATATATTTATAAAACAAACAATATATTTAATGCACATAAAATGTACATGTTTTGACTATCTTTGTTCCCAACTTTTGTATATAGCTTGTCTTCTTAGCATATCACGGGCACTACTGGAATGTAAATAAAAAATAATAGCAATCATGCACCCATTGACACACAGAAGGTTTATGGCTCAGATACTCTGCTGTACTAGTCTCTTCTGATACAGTATGGGGGCAAGTGAATGTCAGGGAGCTGGTAATGGTTCTGTGATCATAGGTCTAATTTCATACCAGCCTTGAGGGAGTTTAAGTGTCATGCGCAAACTTTATCAGGAGTGATTTTGTGTTTTCTTCCAGGTCATTGATAAAAATGTTAAATAATGCAGAGCAAAGAACAAGTCCGTGTGGGACCCCACTTAATTTTACCCAGTTTACATTTACACTTTGCGACCTATGAGTTAGCCAATTTTTAATCCATTTAATGTGTGCCATTTAATGTGTGCCATTCTAGTTTCTTAATCAAAATTTTGTGTGGTATCACATCAAATGCCTTACAGAAGTATATTACATCAATACTATTATCTTTATTCAAGAAAACCTGTAATCTCATAATAAAGAGATATCAAAATGTTTGACAGGATCTGTTTTGCATAAAGCCATGTTGACTAGCATTAATTATATAACTGTCCTTTAATATTTTTAATTAATTGAGACCCATATCAGCCGTTCCATTGTTTTGCCCAGGATCAATGTCAGACTGGCAGGCCTGTAATTATCCACATTGTCCTGTTTACCCTTCTAAAATAGTGGCACAATAGTGGCTTTCTTCTGGAATTTCCTCAGTGCGCCAAGACTTACTAAAAATCATCTAGAGAGTTCTTCTGCCAGCTTTTTTAAAACTCTTGGGTGCAAGTTATCTGAACCTGCTGATTTAAAAATGTCTAAACTTTAGTAGCTGCTGTTTAACATCCTCCTGAGTTACTGGCAAAATTGAAAGTATTTCATCATCATATGATATGCCTTCATCATCTGTTTTTTCCCCCAAACATAGAGCAGAAAAAATTATTGAACACTTCTGCATTATTATTAACAATTCTGCCATTTTCATTCAGTAATAAACCAATATCATTGCTAGGATTCTATTTGTTGCTAAATCTCTTTCTTATTGTACCGAACTCTGC